ATGAACTAGCAGAGGGAGAGATCAGAAAAGCAATTCCATTCACAAGTGTATCAAAAAGAATTAAATACTTAGGAATAAACCTAACCAAGGAAGTGAAAGACACTCTGAAAACTACAAGACACTCATGAGAGAAATTAAAGAAGATACAAATAAATGGAAACACATCCCATTCTCTTGGCTTGGAAGAATTAATACTGTCAAAATGGCCATCCTACCTAAAGCAATCTACAGATTCAATACAATTCCTATCAAAATACCAATAGCATTCTTCAATGAACTAAAGAAAATAGTTCTAAAATTCATATGGAACCACAAAAGACCCCGAATAGCCAAAGCAATCCTGAGAAGGAGGACTAAATCTGGGGGGATTATGCTCCCCAACTTCAAGCTCTACTACAAAGCCACAGTTATCAAGACAATTTGGTACTGGCACAAGAACAGAACAATAGACCAATGGAACAAGACTAGAGAGCCCAGATATAAACCCAACCATATATACTCAATTAATATATGATAAAGGAGCCATGGATATACAATGGGGAAATGACAGCCACTTCAACAACTGGTGTTGGCAAAACTGGACAGCTACAGGCAAGAGAATGAAATTGGATTACTGTCTAACCCCATACACAAAAGTAAACTCGAAATGGATCAAAGACCTGAATGTAAGTCATGAAAACATAAAACTCTTAGAAGAAAACATCGGCAAAATTCTCTTGAATATAAACATAAACAACTTCTTTCTGAACGCATCTCCTCAAGCAAGGGAAACAAAAGCAAAAATGAACACGTGGGACTACGTCAAACTAAAAAGCTTCTCTATGGCAAAGGACACCATCAACATAACAAAAAGGCATCCTACAGTATGGGAGAATATATTTGTATCCAACAAGGGGTTAACATCCAAAATATCTAAAGAACTCACAAGCCTCAACACCCAAAAAGCAAATAACCCAATTAAAATATGGGTGGAGGATATCAACAGACAATTCCCCAAAGAAGAAATTCAGATGACCAACAGACACATGAAAAGATGCTCTACATCACTAATTATCAGGGAAATGCAAATTAAAACCACAATGAGATATTACCTCCCACCAGTTAGGATGGTCAACATCCAAAATACTAGGAACAACAAATGCTGGTGAGGATGAGGTGAAAGGGTAACACTCCTACACTGCTGGTTGGAATGTAAACAAGTTTAACCATTGTGGAAAGCAATATGGAGGTTCCTCAAAAAGCTAAAAACAGAAATACCATATGACCCGGGAATTCCACTCCTAGGAATTTACCCAAAGAAAAGAACTTTTCAGATTCAAAAAGACATATGCACCCCTATGTTTATCGCAGCACTATTTACAATAGCCAAGATATGGAAGCAACTTAAGTGCTCATCAGTAGATGAATGGATAAAGAAAAGGTGGTACATATGCACAATGGAATACTATTCAGCCATAAGAAACAAATCCTCCCGTTTGCAACAACATGGATGGAGCTAGAGGGTATTATGCTCTATGCTCAGTGAGATGAGTCAGGCAGAGAAAGACAAATACCAAATGATTTCCCTCATTTGTGGAGTATAGCAATGAAGGTAAACTGAAGGAGCAAAACAGCAGCAGACTCATAGATTCCAAGAAGGGACTAGTGGTTACCAAAGGAGAGGGGAGGGGGTAAGTGGGTGGGAAGGGAGGGAGAAGGGAATTGTTGGGGTATCGTGATTGCTGCACATGGTGTGTGGGGGGTCAAGGGGAAGACAGTGTAGCTCAGAGAAGATAAATAGGGACTCTGTGGCATCTTACTAAACTGATGGACAGTGACTGCAATGGGGTATGGTGGGGGGACTTGATAATAAGGGTGAATGTAATAACCACATTGTTTTTCTTGTGAAACCTTCATAAGAGTGTATATCAATGATACCTTAATTAAAAAAAGATAAAGGAAAAGTTATTTCTTTCAAATAGTAAGCAAAAGAGAACATTAATTGCTATACTGAGATCAGATATAAAGAAAATAATTGTTACTATAGACAAATAGGGATAATTTGTAATGATAAAACTGGTCAGTCCATCAAGAAGATATAACAATTATAAACATGTATGCATGTAGCAACAGATTACTGAAATATTTGAAGTAAAAACTAACAGAACTGATTGGAGAAATAGATAATTCCATGATATAGTGGCAGCAAACACTGGCAGAAATAGACAGCAGCACAATAACAAAAGGAGATATCAATACCCAACTTTGAATACTGCACAGAGCAACTAGACAGAAGATCAGCAGGGAAACAGAATATTTGAACATTATAAGCAAACTAGCATAGTAATAATCTAAAGAATGCCCCACCCAACAACAGCAGGATACATGTATTTCTCAGAGCAGATAGAATATTCTACAGGATAGGCCAGAAGTTAGGCCTAAAAGCACATCACAATAAATTTAAAATTAATAAAATCATATAAAGACATCCTCTAATGACAGTGGAGTTAAACTGAAATCAATACAAAAAAACTGTGAAACACACAAGTATGTGGGAAATTTTTTTTAATGTACTCCTAAATAATAAACTCAGAAAAAATACCAAGGGAAATTAGCAAATAATTTAAGAAGAATGAAAACAGAAGCACAGTATTACAATACTTATGAAATGCTGCAAAAGTATTATCAGATACAATGTTCTAAAAAAAGAACTACTGATTTGTCAGTTACTCTGCCACATAAAAGCATGTGTTTGTGTGTGTAAAAATCAAGTGACAAAATACAAGCTAAGCATCTTATCTTTTGAGCACTAATAAATGTGTTTTTACAATTAGTAAAAGTTTGGAAATGGCAAGTTATATCAACTATGGTCCTTGCAGAATCTATGTGGCACTCTCCACTTGGGAAAATGGAGTTTATCAAGGGAAGAATTTACAAAGGTGTGGGAAGGATTTTAGGAAGAACAAGGGCTTCCTACATGTTGTTATATTTGCACTACTCTGGAGCTAGCAACAGCAGGGAGATTGTTACAAACTCAAGGCCTGAAGTAGCAAAGGAAAGTAGCACAGAAAACCGGAAAGAGAGAGGGAGAATCTCTATGTACATGGCTCCCTCCAGGAACTGTAACCTTTCACTGAGTATCGGGCAGCCTCATGTGTTCCAGCAGAGAGGGAGCTAGGGGGAAATACCCCAGTCTAGCTGTTCTCTCATTCACTAATCCTCAACTGATGGCCCCCAATGGCTGACCCCAACCAGAAGCCAGATATCAAGGAATCCTCCTGATTCAGCCTTTTTAGGTACAGCACAAGGCAGAAACACATATTTAGGATAAAGAGTGGATCTGAGATAGAGAAGAAACATTTTATTTTAAATATTAGTGATTCCTTCTCATTGGAATGACCACTTACTGGGTTTTTTTCTTCTCCAACCCAGTTTTATGTTTCTTTATTGTTGAGACAATGACTGATTAAATCTAATGTGAGATATTCTACAAATAAACAAATATATTTAAACTTACATTTAAATTTCCCAGAACAATTTATTCAAATTTTGCTCTAATTGTATCCCATTTAAAATTAATGTCCAAAATCTGTTGGGAAATCAAATAAGTATATTTAAAACAAATCTAATAACAAAAGACATTTGCTACCAACCTCAATTCAGTAGATAACACTGTCCCAAAGAACTTTTTATGCTAACTCATCTGGGATAAGCATAAACAGCCAGTTTGGAAACAATGCCCAAGAATGTCAGGAACATAATACAAATAGCACACCCACAGAGCATTCTTGATGTTACATACTATTGCCTTTCTAACCCATGCTTTCTTCCTCATTGGCAGCATTGTATCAAATGAAAAACTCACATTTTTTAAGCTAATTCTTAAATACTCACTTCTGTACTACAGCCTCTACATTCTTCTCTGAAAGTCGGGAAAATTCATGTGTTCCTCCAAAATTCCTTTCTCTCAAATGCTGTTTATCAAAATAAGGTGAGTAAAAAGGCACTTCTTTTAAAGATCATGCATTCTTAGGGAAGGTTATGATGTACATACATCATAGTACTTAATATACATAGGGAAAGCAGACAGCATTTCGTTTCTGGGAGGCTTTTCTAAATTTTGGAAATACCTGATTCAGTGGCTATAGAATGCAAGTGGATCTCTCTCTGTAATCAACCTTTCTCAGTCTCTCACTTAAATCAAACTTAAAAGCATTCCAATTGCAATAAACACAATATCTGACTGATGTTAAATACATGAATGGAATATGAAGTCTTCATTCCATCATGTGAACTTTTAAAATATATGGCCAGAATTTGATGGATTAATTTGTCCATGTGTTTCATCCAGTTGTGATGTCAGATTTTTTAAAACTTTGTTACAATATATATAAATCTAAAAAATAATGTAAATATACATAAAATACTCTGTGTGATAAAAATGATGAATGAATAAAATAAGCTACAATGAAAATGTGGAGATATGACACAAAAGAGATGTCAAAAGGAACAAAATCTGACACTTTACTAAAGTGACTTAAACATTCATGGGAACTATGGCAAGTTATATCAGCAATGGTTTGAAACAATAATAAAAAGTCACTGGAAGTAGAAGATCCAGAAGTCATGGAATCCAACAGCTAAGTATTGAAATATGAAAATGATGTGAAAAAGATTAAATACAACAGATTTGTAAAGGATAGAATTATAAAGCTTAAATTTACTTCAAGAGTAAATTACATTGTTTAGGACGCCTGTGGTGGTTTCCCAAGGGAATTATCCAGAGAAATGAATGAGGCTCTAGGGGTTTCATCATCACAAACAAAACTAGTCTTCCCAAAGTGCATAACATGAATGAAATCCCAAATAACATAAGTTTAATAAAATTTATTAAATTTTATTTCATAAAAAAAGCATAATTGTCTGAACACTGTCATTCAAGTTGGATAGAATTTTAATTATGGAAGAATTCATGGAGAATCAAATCTAAAATTACTCTTTGAATAACTGAAGAATGATCCATGGTAGAAAAACATCAAAGGTGAGTATGATGATGTTAAATGAAGAGACAACAGGGGTCTTAATGTCCAATTATTTAACAATGTCTCTACATAGCAATTCTAAGAATATCTATTTTGGCAATAAAATTAATTCATACCATACCTTTATTTCAAATCCTATCCAAATCATAGGATTTTCACCTGAAAAAGAATTTAGGCTAAGATATGTTCCTAAACACAGTGTGCTTTCACGGGGAGAACAGTGTAGCACAGAGAAGGCACATAGTGGATCTGTGGTATCTTACTACACTGATGGACAGTGACTGCACTGGAGTATGGGTGGGGACTTGATAATATGGGTAAATGTAGGAACCACACTGTTTTTTCATGTGAAACCTTCATAAGAGTGTATATGAATCATACCTTAATAAAATATTTTAAAATCAATCAATAAATAGTGTATAAAAAATAAATAAAACATCTGCTATAATGTCAATGTCAAATAAAGTACTGGGGACACACTCATTCAGGAAATATTTCTAGAATTCAGATGCTTTTTTGGTATCTTGACACTCTGAAATTATAGTCTCATTATCTCATTACTTCATTTTAGGAAAGGATTGCTTTTTGATCTTTAGAACCTCCCTGGTTATTAGCAGACAATAGGAATAAATGATTGACAATATCCTATATATGGGTCATCACATTTTCTTTCTCATAGTGTCTAGAGATGAGTACTAATGAGTTAATGGGTGTAAATGCTTACTGGAGTGTTCAGCACACAGGGATTACTAACCATTAGTTACAATTATTATCATTTCACTATTATACACTTCTGACCTATGAATAGTGTGTAACCAATGAGCAACATTCACATCTTAGTTGTGAGTAGCTTTGTATGATACGTCACAGTGGCTTTCAGGACTTAATGAAATAACTGGAAACATTGGTGCGAGGCACTACTGAATTATTAGGAAGACTAGAAGTTTTGAGGCAGCCATACTAGAAGAAGAGAAAACTTGGAACTGTAATAATCATCAGGATAGCCTTGTCCAGACACTAATAGTTTTGACTAATTATACCATCTCTATGGGCATTAAGAAGGTAGTTTTTAACATCCATTTAATATTTTGGAGTTGAGAAAGTATTTCAAACCCTTTTCATGTCAGTTTCCTGAAGTATAAACTGGGAGTTGAACTGTCACATGTTTTCCCCTCCTACAGAATCTGTTTTCCTGATGTATTTTTTCTTGCCTAAGTAATTCAAAATAGAGAATGTGAAAACTGTTCTTTGCAACCTTACAAATGTAATGTGTTGTCTTTAAACCACTAACTAGTAGGGTAATTCAGAATTCTGTTACTGGGATGCACTGTCTTAATTTTCCATCAGAATATCTCTCATCTGACAGAAGATTATAGATTTCATGAAACATACCAAAGAAAAGAAAGTATAAGCAAAAACCTCATACCTAAATACTCTTTCTCAAAATACTGCTTTACTTTTACTCAGCTAGGTGATTTTGTCTTTATAATGGGCTGCTTAGCTAAAAAAAAAAAAAAAAAAAAA